CTGAAACACACTCCTGATATGAACACAATGCCAATAACATCGGACCCTCTCTTTTAATGGAATGTATGGAAATAACGCGTCGAACCGATGCTTAAGCCCGTATTGTTACGCTGAATTCGCTTTTTATTCAACAACAATTTTCAATCAGCGCCAGAAAAATACCAGTTTATCAAGAGTCGGTCTGCGAAAAGTTTTTAACAGTTTTCCATTCTACGCGGCCTCGATTTTCAAATACACTCTATTCGAAAATTTTTAATTTCTGATAAAGCTTCGTTGGTCAACGACTGATTGTCGATTCCTGTCTCCGTTCGTTCATGTTCCTTACGGCATTGCTTTACGACGATAGAAAATTCTTTTACTGTCCCGGAAGCCTCCAGCTTCGCATCCCAAAAGTTAGATTGACTAATTATTAACAACTAACCGCATGCGGATATCATCCCATTAGCCTTTATTACAGCCCCACTCAACATCCCTTTTACGATCCTCCCGCTTCTTCACTCCCACCGGACGAGCTTCCAAACTACAAAAGAACGACAAGCATTCATATCCACGACGTGCTCCATCTATTCGGCAATGCGCACACGTCTTAATAAGTCGCTGAAATGGGGGTGGTGAGGAACATTTCTCACCATGTGCAACATTGCATGCCTTGGTTAATTCTGTATTATGCTTCTATGTGCGGAGCTTAACTCTTAGCTCAGACGGAGTTGCATAAGTTGTTGCATTCCCGTCGGGATTTCCGGTCTGCAGGATAATTTGGTTGGACTAATTTCGTTAATTGTCCATTGAAACGAATTTGCAACACTCAATCGGTTTTGTTGAGTTTACTGTGCCGAGTGAGAATTAGAAAGGGGAATGAAGGAGTTTTTGCGCTCAAGGGGAGAAATTAAGGACGTTACGACACTTAGAACGAGATATAAAATTCCAAAAAGTCCCAAAATAGGCAAGGGAAGTGGTGCTTTGTTTTGCTTTATTCGGGATAAGTGGCTCTAGATGTGGGGCATTATACAACTCTTAAATTAATCGTAATTAGGTTTAATTATTATTTATAAGTATTGAATGACGGTTTATGATGCGTTTTTGCATGTACGTGACCTCAAAGGCTCTTCTAGTTTAATTATCCGTGTGTAAACATTGCGCTTGTTTTATATGTCACGTACGGCTGTTGATGATTGATCCCTTAATTAATTATCGATTGTAAATACAAGCTATGGCCAACGAGGCTTTTGTTAGTTCTATAGCTCTCCGAACTGTAGAAATAAATGTGGGCTAAGCATACATAATAATTATTAAACTGCGTCTGTCTATAGGTTCAGGGCTACAGTGTACGTTGCAAATTGGCTTGTCAATATTTTATAGAAGCGAATTACTTTGTAAAGGAGGTAACAAAGTCGTCAAATCCGATGGGGTTATATCAGTCGATATTCCGGAACTAGCACGTTGAGGCGCAAGCTGATATTGATAGAATTTTGGCCTCAAGCCGCTGTAAGACAGTTGCGGTTGCCCTTAATTAAATTTGACAAAAACGCGCACGTCAAATTTTGGTAAAGTCGCTACTGTTTAAAAACCCAAACGAGCCTTTTGCCCTAATTACCCCAGCTCGCCAATACCTCCCAGTTCAATATCTCACGCAAACATTTCGTTTCTCTAAAAGTTGGACCGTCAGTGAATTCCCTGAATATTTCATCAGGCCAAGCCATAGATAGCGATTTAATTAAAGCTGCACGAGGCCACCGAGGAATCAAAGAATTCCCCTTTTTGCAGGTATCGACTACCGAAAGTTTCTCCAAATACCCAGCCTCCGCCTGATTCAATTTTTCCCTTTCAAGGAGGATAATCTCCAAAGCCTGCCATTGATTTTTCACCTCGAATGGCAGTCATTTTCATGCAGGTAGGCATATTAAGCATCCAGCCTAGTCGTCACGTTGCCTTTTTATGCTTAGTAATCCCTCCTTTCGGATGTGCCCGACGTGATTGCAGGGAGCCATTTCCCCGACGATGGCTCCTGCATACCCTTAACGCTCCGGAAGCGGCCTCCTCGGCCGCAGTCCACTGCATCTCGGAGACGTTTTGTGCAGCGAAAGAGTCGAAAACTTTGTCCGTTTGCGAGGGCGAAGCTGAGCCTGTGCTCTGATCAATACGTGCTGGCGGAGGAACCCTCTGGCGTCTTATTAAAGCGGACGGAGCGAGGAGAGCGATGATGATCTCACCACCACGCGCTAGATTGGTTGCCGACGGAATGGTGCTCGTTATTACCTCAATGGAGGTTTGTGCATTTCCAGACTCGCCCAGGACAACAGTCGGATCGTAGACGAATCAATACGCAATTACAGGATCGTTCGGCATTCAAGAGGTCACAGCCTGTACAGGTAGAGGCCACCCCCGAATATTCCCGTCGCGACGCTCGGAATACAAAAGTCGGATTGCAACCGCGACGCCGTTTACCACCAAGGAGTTTCGAGCTTCATAAAAGGGATTTGATAACAATAGGGAGATACTTTTTCGGCTGCAACCGCAATTACTCATGATTATGGAACGACGAAACACGCGCGGTTCGAATTCGGTGCAGTTTTTAGACACTGATTCGATCACGGATTTTTCGGCTTGCACTGGAAAATCAAGGCTTTCTGAGTACGTGTCTGGGGCAATCAAAATAAATGTGTTTTCTTAATGAAGGTGCGATTTAGTTGATAGAAGACACTCTAGATGACAATTCACGAAATTTTTGACCCAAGATTTGCAAGTGAGAATTTAGACAGATTTTGAGCCCTGATTCTGATTCAGTAGGTTCAAACTAGTAAAAAGAGCAATTCTCAGATAGTATCAGATGGTCTAAATCATGAAAAATTCACGATACAACTTCGAACAAATCTCGAAAGTCAAAAAAAAACTGGGTCTGAAACTGTAAGTAAGTAAGTAAGTAAGTAAGTAAGTAAGTAAGTAAGTAAGTAAGTAAGTAAGTAAGTAAGTAAGTAAGTAAGTAAGTAAGTAAGTAAGTAAGTATTTATTAATGACCGTTAGGGTACATAAGTCAAGTCAGATGAAATTACAATATAAAGAGTTTAAAATTATACAATTTACAAGATAATTCAAATCGAATGGTAAAAACTACACAGGACATCGCTACAATTTAAAAATTCATCGAGAGAGTAAAATGCGTTTTTTAATAAAAAATTTCTTATAGTACGGCTAAATTGCGAAAAAGGTAAGTTAGCAATACGTTTCGGTAATTTATTGAATAATTTGGGCCCATAATAATTGATGGCATTTCTACTTCTACCTACACGATAGAATTCGGTGTAAATGCTATGGGTAGATCTCGTGATTAATGACATATTTGTGAGATTATTATAAGTGGTGAGATTAGACTTCACATATAATAAAGCATATAAAATATAAAGACAGGGCACGGTGAGAATACTTTTTTCTTTAAAATAATTTTTAACACAAGCTCTGTAAGATAGACCTCCAATAATTCGAACTACTCGGCGCTGCAATTTAAAAACGGTTTTTAAATGACTGCTGTGGCCCCAGGTTATAATGGCATAGCTAAAAATACTTTGAAATAAAGAGTAGTATATCATCATAAGGATCTGCTCACTAACCTCATATTGCAAATTCCTAATAAGAAAAGTTGACTTGGACAATTTTTTACAGATATCAATGACGTGATTATCCCAGCATAATTTCGGGTCCAGTGTCACACCAAGAAATTTGACACACCTCGGATTGTCAATCTCAGAAATGTAACGAAGGGAAAACACCATTTTTTGAGTTTTCAGTACATTAAGCGTTAATCTGTTTGAAGTAAACCATTCACTAGCAGCATTAATATCTTGTTCCATCCTGTCCAAGAGAGACGGGATGTCTGAGTCCACACTATAGCAAGTAGTGTTATCCGCAAAAAGTATGATTTTATTGTCTAGATGTTTAGCCAAGTCGTTAATGTATAACAAAAAGAGCAACGGACCTAAAATCGAGCCTTGTGGCACTCCTATGTTAACTATTGTCATTTCGGAGTATACATTATTAAACAGAACAACCTGCTGGCGATTGTGGAGAAAACTAAAAATAAGCTGTAAGGCTCCATTTGACAATCCGTACAACTCAAGCTTGTTTATTAGAATGTTGTGATTAATACTATCGAAAGCTTTTGATAGATCACAAAATGTGCATCCTAAGAATTGTTTTGTTTCGAAACAGGTAATGACCTCATCAACAAGCCTATTAATAGCCATGGTTGTACTTTTGCCATGTTGGAAACCAAATTGGCGTTGGTTCAATATGTTTTGTTTAGTAACGTATTCCTCAAGTTGTTTAAGCATAATCTTTTCTAAAATTTTCCCAAAAATAGGCGTTATAGAGATTGGTCTATATTTATCAACATCATCTACGTTGCCCTTTTTGTGGATAGGGATTACTTTGGTCACCTTGAGACAGGATGGGAAAAGATTTTCATTAATACACCGATTGATCAATCTTGTGAGTGGAACTAGAATGAGATTCTTAATATTCCTAACAATGGTGATACTTATGTTGTAGTAGTCCTTACTTTTCTTTTTTTTGATGGAATCAATTGTATCTCTTACTTCATTAAATGTTATCTCTCTGAAATTGAAAACAGAGTTCACCGGAGTCAAATTTTTGTGCATTAGCTGAATTGGATCCGTATTTGATAATTTTAAATTATTCTCCAAATTATGTGGGATATCACCAAAAAATGTAGAGAAGTCCTCTGCAGTCAGTTTTTCTGAATAATTATTGCTACTAGCTAATCGTTTGCTATTGATTAATTTCCAGCTGTCCTTTGCTACATTAGTAGAATTTTTAATTAGGTTGTCATTAAAGGTTTTTTTTCTTTTCTTAACTTCGGTTCTAAACAATTCTCTATATTTTTGAAAATAGGTCACAAAAGTTGGGTCATTAGGATTTTGATTGTGTAATTCGTGTAGCAGGTCTACATTATGTTTCATTTTATGTAATTTCTCATCATACCAGTAAATATCATCCTTTTTAACATTTTTTATTCTTTTTACTTTTATAGGAAAGGCCATGTTTACTTTATCAGAAATTAATTTGGTGAATAAGTTAAATTTGGTATTTGTATCAAGTCCAGCATCATTGATAAAATCAAAATTGCAATCACTAATAATATTAAAAAAATTAAAGAATCCTACTTCCGTAAAAGGTTGATATGATACAACTTTCGAGCAGTCTTTTGACTTATGACGATTATATAGAATTTCTACAGTAGCAGCACGATGGTCAGATAAATGAGTCTCCATGACCTGGTGCCTACAATCATGTGCGATATTTGTAAGTATATTATCAATACACGAATTTGCTCGCGTGTTCTCAAAGATTAGAGGTCTCAAATTATAAGATTTTAAAAAGTTAAGGAACTCTAGAGTCTGTTTGGTTTTGCGGTCAAAATGTATGTTAAAGTCTCCATTAATAATAACATCTGAATCGATTATATTGATAAAATTAAATAAATTAGTCAAATTAGAGTATAAAACTTCCAGATTGCCTTTTGGTGCTCTGTATACAGTTATTATGATTAGTTTGGGTTTATTAACTTTAATGGCTGCAAGCTCAATGTCAATTACATTACAAAACTTTGAAACATCAATAACTTGGTATTTAATTTTATCGTTTACTAGTATCACAACACCGCCATAACCATTATCTTTCCTGGTATAGGCAGAGGCTATCTTAAAACTACCCAATTTTAATAAATCCAACTCATAGTTTGTTAACCAATGTTCTGTAAAACATAAAACATCATAAGATTCTTCAATGTTATGTAAAACTACCTCTACTTCATCAACTTTGTTCCTAATCGATTGTACATTTAAATGGAAAATTGAAAAATAGCTATCACTAACTACCGCTTTACTCGTTAATTTTTTTAAAATGAAAAAACTTGCGAACACATGCTCCTACAGGCCAGATGTTGGGATCCAGGGCTTTTCCGAAATTGTCAGCATATACAGACAGCTTGAAAGATGAATATTCGCCTTTGTGTTTAGCTTCCAGTTCCTCGCATTTTGCTTCGGGAAAATGAGATTTAACAAACGTTAGTACGTCTTCCTTTTTGGTATCAGGGTGTAACCTATAAACATGCAGATCCATTAGTTTTGGTATAGCTTTCAAACTGCAACCTGCAGCAGCGAAACAACCAACTACAGCTTTACGTTTTTTCTTCTCAACTAGATTCCATTCATCATTATGGCGTTTTGGAAGAGCCTTTGGCTGTACTTTCATTGTGGGCTGTATAGATTTTATGTTGGGTGATGACATCACAGGACTTTTTGATGACATTGCAGGACTTTTAGATGACATCGCAGGACTTTTTGATGACATCGCAGGACTTCTTAAACCTTTGACAGAAACTTTGACAGAACTTCCACCATTTTCCTTGTTTACCTTTTGCTTATCTTGCTTAGCAGCGACTGGTGTGATAGAGGACTGGGAGAGTTTTTGCCGTTCTTTTTCCAGTTGTTCTAGAAGGCAAATTTTTTCTTGTAGGAGATCGATTTTAGACCGTAGTTCTTCAATGATCACATCTTTCTGCTGCATGACATACTTAAACATGGTCGCATCAACTGGTTCAGTGATGTTTGATAAATCGATGATATCATTTGGCTCAGGAGTAGTGTCTTCGGTAAACGGAGAACAGGGTCGATTACAGCACAATATAACATCTTCAGAATTGAACTTCCCTTTACTGAGCAACTTTCCACAACTTGTGTGATAATAAGACAAACAAACATTGCATTTTACACCACTTATTAAACTGGCTTTACACTTTTTGCATTTCATTTTTAATCGAGTAACTTGCAACGCGTCCACACTTTACGAGCTCTCGACTACTCTCGACTACTAACTGGGTTAGTTAGTCTCACTTTGCACCGCTAAGTCGGTTTCTAGCAACAGTTATTGAATATTTTCACTATTTTAAACGAAATCCTTTAATCTGTACTGAAAATCAAATTTAAAATTTAACGGCTTGTAAGTCCGGAATGGCATAAGATTCCGAGTTCCGGTTTAAACCAATCGATTTCTTCAAGTTTTCTAGTCGCCGGGGTCCATTTTCAGGCCGGACTCTGTATCCATTTGGAATCGACCGGTATTATTTTTCACATGTGTCGGGTATTAAAAATTTCATAAAAATATCAAAAGGTTCCTGATTCTTGTTCAGGAGGTTTAAATTAGTAAAGAGAGCAATTTTCACCACTTCAACGTTAGATTTCTTGAAGTTTTCTAGCTTCAGTGTTTGATTCTATCTCCGTTTGAGACCCCAAATCTCGTTCAGAAGGTTAAAATTGGTGAAGAGTCTTATATATTTATAGACTAATTTTAATTTTGTACCGCTGAGTCTCTTTCTAGCATAAATGGTTGAAAATTTTTACTATTTTAACCAAAATCCTTCTTTGACCTATGCTCAAAAAGCAAATTTAAAGTTAATGGTTGAAATTCAGGCCGCATTCTATGCCTGTTTGTCTCGACGGGCAAATACAGATTTTCTATAAATGATTATCGAGTCGAAGTAGGTCATGGAAACGCGCCGCTTCTCACTTTTGAATTTTACTAAATGCCCAAGGACCCACGACAAATAATACAGTAACCTATATAACTGGTTCATATCTTATTAAAAAATGAAACTAATGAAAATCTTGACTCTCTCTTTAATTTCAAAAATGTTCTAAAACAATTTCAGGTTTATAGATTAATTTTATAGCTCTGAGTCTGTTTCTAGCATCAATTGTGGATTATTTTTACTATTTTAAGCAAAATCCTACTTTAATCTATGCTCAAATTTAAAGTTTGACGACCCATAAGTCCGGAACCGAATAAGATTCCGGGCTGTGGTTTTCACCATTAGATTTTTTTAAGTATTCTATTCGCAATATTTGATTTTCACGCTGGATTCTGTCTCCGTTTGGTATCGCGGGACCAATATATTAGACGGTGTCGTGTTTCGGAAGTGGCGACCATTAAAATACTAAAATAAAAATCAGGAATTCTCAGAGACAGATTTTAGGGCCTGATTCTTGTTTAGAAGGTTTAAATTAGTGAAGAGACCAATTTTTCGATTCCCATTAAGAGAGAAAACATGAGAATCCTGAAAAATTCACGGATACGATTCCTTTGAAAAAGTGAAGTCATAAAAACAATTTCCGGTCTCACTGAAATTCAGTCTATAAACTAATTTTGTACTGCTGACTCTGTTTCTAGCATCAATTGTTGAATGCTTTTACTATTTTAAGCAAAACCCTTGTTTAGCCTATGCTCTAAACCAAATTTAAAGTTTGACGTCCTTTAAATCCGGAACCGCATAAGATTCCGGGCTGTGGTGTCACCATTAGATTTGTTGAAGTTTTCTAGTTTCAATGTTTGATTTTTAAACCGGATTCTGTCTCCGTTTGACAAATATATTGGACGTGTCATTTTTCGAAAGTAACGAAATTTAAAAATAAAAAAAATAAGAGGTCCTGGAGAGAGATTTTGGGACCTAAATTTTGTTCATTTGATTAAATAAAACTAATAAGAGAACAATTTGAGATGAATCGGAGTCCATTTAAGGGTGAAAGCTTGATAGGGCCTAAATTCTGAAAATTTCACGAGACAATTCCCTCGAAAAAATTAAGTCAAAAAAACAATTTCGGTTGACTGAAATTCGGTTTATAGACTAATTTTGTACCGCTGACTCTGTTTCTAGCATCAATTGTTGAATATTTTTACTATTTAAAGCAAAATCCTTGTTTAGCCTATGCTCTAAACCAAATTTAAAGTTTGACGACCCACAAGTCCGGAACCGCATAAGATTCCGGGCTGTGTTTTTCACCATTAGATTTTTTGAAGTATTCTATTCGCAACATTTGATTTTCACGCTGAATTCTGTCTCCGTTTGGTATCGAGGAGCCAGTATATTAGACGGTGTCATTTTTCGGAAGTGGAGACCATTAAAACACCCATTAAAATCAGGAATTCTCGGAGACAGATTTTAGGCCCTGATTCTTGTTTAGAAGGTTTAAATTAGTGAAGAGACCAATTTTTCGATGAATTGGTGTCCCATTAAGAGAGAAAACATGAGATAGTCTAAATCCTGAAAAATTCACGGATACGATTCCTTTGAAAAAGTGAAGTCATAAAAACAATTTCCGGTCTCACTGAAATTCAGTCTATAAACTAATTTTGTACTGCTGACTCTGTTTCTAGCATCAATTGTTGAATATTTTTACTATTTTAAGCAAAATCCTTGTTTAGCGTATGCTCTAAACCAAATTTAAAGTTTGACGTCCTTTAAGTCTGGAACCGCATAAGATTCCGGGCTGTGGTTTCACCATTAGATTTCTTGAAGTCTTGTAGTTTCCATGTTTGATTTTCAAACCGGATTCTGTCTCCGTTTGGTGTTGCGGGGCAAATGTATTGGATGTGTCATGTTCCGGTAGTAACGAAATTTAAAAAAATAAAAAAAAAATCAACAGGTCCTAGAGATATATTTTGGTTAAATAATAGTATAATAAAGAACGAGTTTCAAAAGGCAAATATTAAGACACGAATCCAAATTTGCCATGAGTTTGATGAGTGCCACAATGGCCTTATGAATGAGTTATTTATAATATTTTTTCTAACGCGCACACTTTTTTGCAAAATTTAATTGAAATTTACGTTTTTTTAAATCTGGGGAATTTTGCGTGGTTGGTGGTGGGTTGGTCTGACACGAACCACGAAATATTTGAAGTTTGAATTTTCACAACAACTATAATTTGAATCAATTCGAGTTAAAATTGGTTAAAATGTGTTGGGAAGAAGTTAGTAAAGTCCTTACGCCTACCGAAATACGGGCAATTTTAATGTGACATTTGCCACTGACATTCACCTGACATTTCTCGTCATGGCTACCAATCTTACCGATCTAAATTACACCAGATCTATTTCGGAACACCTTTCCGCTATGACGTCATTTGGGTGCTTTAATAGCTATATTAGAAAATCAAAAATCATTTAAAGGAGAAAGCATGAGGTGGCCTAAATTCTGAAAAATTCACGGTACGGTTCCTTCGAAAAAAGGAACAATTTCGGTTAATTGAAATTCGCTTTATTGACTAATTTTGTACCGCTCACTCTGTTTCCAGCATCAATTGTTGAATACTTTTACTATTTTAAACAAAATCCTTGCTTAGCCTATGCCCAAAAACCAAATTTAAAGTTTGACGGGCCATAAGTCCGGAATCGCATAAGTTTCCGGGTTATGGTTTTCACCGTTAGATTTCTTGGAGTTTTCTACTCAGAATATTTGATTTTCATGCTAAATTCTGCCTCCGTTTGGTATCGAGGGGCCAATATATTAGACGGTGTCATTTTTCGAAAGTTAAAAAATTAAAAGAAAAATCAGGCAGTCCCGAAGTCAGATTTTGGGCCCTGATTTTTGTTCAAAAGGTTTACATTAGTTAATAGAGCAATTTTTAGATGAATTGGTGTCCGTTTAAGCGGAATAGCATAAGATGGTCTAAATCCTGAAAAATTGACGATTCTTCAAAAAAATGAAATAAAGAAATTATTACCGATCTGACTGAAATTCGATCTCTAGACTAATTTTTAGTCCGATGATACTATTTCTAGCATCAATTGTTACGTATTTTCACTATTTCAAACAAAATTCATCTCTAATACATGTTGATAAATCAGATTTGAAATTTGATGGTCCATAAGTACGGAATGGCATAAGATTCCGGATTCCGGTTTTCACCACTGCATTTCTTGAAGTTTTTCTTCACATTGGTTGATTTTCAGACCTCAGTCTATGTCTATTTGGTATTGACGTGAAAATATATCGGACGGTGTCATTTTTATGAAGTGGGGAGGATTAAAAATTGAAAAAAAAAATTCAGGCGGTCTTTAAGCCCTGTTCAGAAGGTCCAAATTAATAAAGAGAGCAATTTTTAGATAAAGCGGGGTCCATTCAAGCGAGATAGCATGAAATCCTCTAAATCCCCAAAAATTCATGATACGATTCCTTCGAAAAAATTTAGTCAAAAAAACATAATTTGTTTCTAGACTAACTTTGAGCCGCTAAGTCCATTTCTAGCATCAATTGTTGAATATTTTTACAATTTTAAACAAAGTCCTTCCTTAATCTGAAGTCAAAAATTAAATTATAATTTAACGCCTCATAAGTCTGGTTGATTTTCAGACCGGATTCTACGTCCGATTAGAATTGACGGACAAATATGGGGAAATATCATAGGGTTATTTTTAGGAATTGTTAGATATTAAAAAAAATAAAAATCAGGAGATTCCGAAGACCTGCTTCTAAAAATTAATTTTTTGGTTTAATATTGGATATAGTGTCTGATGACAACCATAAGGCTTCAAGACGCGTGTTTGCTAACCAATAGGAACGGTACTTAATATTACATCTGTGTGGCAATCCTAGTGTCGATGTTTAATTCGTTCGTGCCTGAAAGAGTGACACATAAACAGATTATGTTAATTTAAACATGCGAAAATTCAAAATAAGTTGGAAACACACGCATTTGTCCCCCTAAGTTAAGTTCTATGACTTCAGCAGATGGTGAAATTGGTAAAGGTGCCACTAACGATAATGACTATTATTATCTCGTCAAAAATAGAATAGTGAAAGCTCCTTTAACGCAATTTATACCCAACACAGCCCTTTTTAAAATGTTGTAAAATGATGAAAACTCAAGAAACCTCCTCAGTCTTTACACTGTACTGTTCCCAATTAAATGTTTACGACGAAGCACAACATTCGCCTCGTCCTTGCATTAACATGACTGACTTTCAATAGACTTCCAACCCTCGTTCGAACCTTTTCAATTTTATTAACC